TTTCCCCCGGGGGTCGCCAGCCGACATTGACCGGCAGATGGAATCCGGAGAATGCCTAGTCTGTGGCATCTTATGGGTCTCTGGGAGGTAAATGGCAGGAGGCGGTCTCTCAGGTACCCAGGTCTGATGCCATGCAGGGCTTTAAAAGTAACGACTAGCACCTTGAAGCATGTCCGGAGACCAATAGGAAGCCAGTGCAGCTTGCGGAGGATAGGTGTAACATGGGTGTACCTAGGTGCACCCACAATCGCTTGCGCGGCTGCATTCTGGACTAACTGAAGTCTTCTGAAGTATGTCTGTATGTATGATGTTTGCAATTCATAGCACTTGTTTCTTAATCAAACTAATAATATTTCATAACTGGAAATAGTTCTTGAAATCCACTGTATTTATTAATGAACCCTTATTATTTTTATTAATCAATGAGCTCATTAGATAATAGGGGGTTATAAAAATTAACCCATATCTACAAACCATTTGAAAGAAAAATCTGTTTTTTGTTTAAGTAATGGTTAAATAACTATAAACAGGCAGGTGCAAAAGTAATCCTGAGGGGAAGACAAAGAATATTTCACAAGTTTTAGATCTATGACGTAAAAGGTACATGAGACAGAAATTATGCTTGCGGAATGGCTGGGAATGGGATTGCTCAAGTACTTTATATAAATATAAATAGTCCTTGACTTACAACCATTTGCTTAGCAACTGTTCAAAGTTATAGTGGTGCTGAAAAAAGTGATTTAAGATTGGTCTTTGCATTCATGACCATTGCAGAATCCCTCCAGTCGTGTGCTCAAAATTCAGGCACTTGGCAAGCAGCATGTATTTATGATGATTGCAGTGTCCTGGGGTCAAATGATTGCCATTTGCAACCTCTTCAACTGGCTTCTAACAAGCAAAGTTAGTGTAGGAAACTGGTTCACTTAACAACCATGACAGTTTGCTGTGACAAAACTGGTCATAAAATTGGGTACAACTCATTTAATGACTGCCTCACTTAGCAACAGAGGTTCTGATCCTAATTGTGGTTGTTGGTTGAGGAATACTTGTACAATTTTAATAGATTGTAGTAATGGGATATGGTTGGTACAAGTAAAGAAAGATGTGTAGATCTTTGATAACTGACTCAAGGAGGTGGATTAAGTTAGTTTAAATCAGATTTAAGCCCAACCGACTTGGAGTCAGAGTTTCTCAAGCAATTTCATTTTGCACAAAAATGTTGGAGGTGAGGCGAACAGCCGGGAGACCAGGTGAGCGGCTGGGCAAGGTGAGGGGCTGCACAAGGCTAGGCCCCTTTGATGTGAGTGACTTGAGTTGGCCATGCCCACCCAGTCACATGACCACTCAACCATGCCTACTCAGCCGGTCATTAGGGCAGAGAACAGGTTGTTAAATTATTTGAATCCCACCACTGGTTATAACCAGCGCCTTGAATCAGACCCAGAAGCAAAGTGGCACCCAATGGAGGTCAGGCAGCTGATGTGTTACATTTGAATTCTTGGTCGCTCAAGATTTGTAGAGGCTGAAGTTTCCAAGTACTTTTTAAGCATAGCCCCATGTAAACCTTTTAACACATAGTACAAATCTTGATAGAATAAAATATTAGGCATATACAGAAGTTGGCCTGGCATCAGGATTATAAGTCAACATTTTGATCTTCTCGAAGCTCTTTGCTGTTGTGATCTCATAGGAAAGTACATGGCCAACATTTTTCACACTATTGGAGCTTTTAAATGGGGATTTAGGGTTAAGATGGGTGTATGACTTTAATGGAGATTTCTTTTGATTTAATATGGAGGGGCTGGGAATTGGAGGCTTCCCCAAAGCAATCTCCTCCCAATCCCCTACCCCTTAAAACTATCCCTAAAATCAAAGTACCAGCTGTATCTTTCCTAGTCAAATTCTAGAGAGGGGATTCAAACTGTACAGCATACATTATCCATCTGTCAGGCTCGTCCCAACTCAGATGTGTAGGATAAAAAGACCCTCAACTCCATTTCTTGAAGTGAAACATTCATTTACTAAAATCAAGTGGTTACAGAGAAAGCAAAGCTGGGTCTACGTATTCCTGCTCAAAGGTTGCAATTTTCCCTTTCCACCTGGGCCTCCTCTCTTGACCAGTCCATTCATGTCCAATAGCATCTGTTTTTGATGTTTTGGGAAAAGCTTTCCAGGTTGGCACCTCTGATGTAGTTTTGCATACCATTCTCAGACTTTCTCCTTGATCAGCTGGTTTAGTCCAGATTGACATCTCTGGTTCCTGTCACTCTGTCACCCCCTTCCCCTTTTCCTGCTCATTCCCATACCCATTCCTTACTTCCCCAATTGCCTACCCCCCTCCCTTGCATTTTATGGTAGGATGCCAGTGAAACAAAAGATGCTAAATATGGCAGGCCTGACACCAGTGGTGTGTTGCAGGCGGTACGAACCAGTATGGGCATACTAGTGCCTGCCATGAGCACCGGGTACCATTCTGGTACGGTGCTCCGGAGGGCCCCCCACCCACCTGCCGAGCTCCTTACCTGTATTTGAGCTCTTCGGCGTTTCCGCTTCCGTGCACGGATAGCAGAGGGCCTGCGCAACGCTCCCCCGAGCAGCTGGAGCATTGCGGAGGCATCCTGGAGGCATCCTGGAGGTAAGGACATATGTGCCTGCTGCACATGTGTGCGTGCGTGCTACGTGCGTGCATGTGGGGAACACCAGGCCCCGTTGCACCATACGAGTTATAACGGGATCCAGAACCCACCACTGCCTGACATCATCTATCTTCTGGGTCAAGTAATATAAATCCCACCCTCATCTATCATGCCATTTCTTCTAATGGTTGAAGCGTTCATGTTTCTTCTTGCAGGCTGAAGGAGGCAGAGTATCAAGTAGTTTTGGCCAGAAGTCTGAACAATCCCAATGGAGTCAACAGTGTCACAAAATACAAGACACACACTTGGTGTCAGAAGCCACCATCCAGCCACAGATAGCCCAGCTCAAACAATACAAAGCCCTACTCGGTGAGTAATATTGCCATCTAAAGTGATAAGCTGCATAGTTCTTCAATATTTTAATTACTTGGATGAAAATATGAAGGGAATGTGTACTCACTTGTACAGTATGTATACATGACATAAATTTGGGCTAAATAGTTAATACCTGGAAGAGACAAATGCAAATAAAAACAATCTTGAGAACTGGGCCAAAAATAACAGAATGAATGACATTTAACAGAGACAAACTGCAAAGTATTTGTACTGTTTTGCTGGATTTTGGAGAGGGATATTATTTATTTTTTAATATTTTAATTTTGTTTTTGTTTTAGCTGGTAAGTCCCTCCTTAAACCAAAGGAATTTGTTGTTGAGTTGAAGGACTTTCAAAGTGGGTGTCCATGAAAAAGCCTCCTTTACAGCTTCACATTCAGATATTCCACATTTTTAGTAAAGGTTAAAAGAAACCTAGAAAATGCAGGATTGTGACAGAAATAAAATCTTGTGTTGAAATAGATAAAAAAGCTTTACAAAAGAAGCTCCAGAAGAGTGAATGAAATTAAAAATAAAATCAGTGAAATTATTTGAGAGAGAAATCAAAATAAGAGAATGCTGAAAGGCATAGTTTAGCAATTTGTATGGAAATAATACCAATATATTAGAGAAAATTGAAATCAATATTAGTTAGTTGTGTCCAAAAAATAATAATTAATGCCATGAGAGAGGTGACTGATAAATGAATGAGCTATTTTGCTGTTTGGGAGTAGACAGAACATGATATTCCAGTTAGGAATGTCTGAAAATTATCAAAAATTACATAATTAGATTCAATCCAAGTTTTAAAAAATGATGAATCTGGATGAGATAAATGTGAAATGTACTTGTTTCATTTTAAACATAATGTGCAATGTAGCCAAATAATTTCTAAACTTCAAAAAACCCAGTGCTTGCACAGCAATGTTTCAAGATAACATTCCTCCTTTCTGTAGAACTTTCTGGAATGGCAATTGATTACATAACAGTGTGCCTTCATAGTAGTTTAAACGAAGTTGAAAAAAATAGATCAACCACTCATACATATAAACATTTCCCATAAAAAGTCCATCTGTGCAGTTTTTTGTTGAACAGGCAGATACCGTGTTAGCTAATGGTCCTATCACGGATATCTTTTTGGATAATCTCACCAAATTTGTTATGATATTTTTAGTGGGTTTTTAATGTACTTAATCATAAGTATATGTACATGGAGTCCTCCAAACCTCATTGAACAACTACTGGCTTTTCCTGGAGTTTCCTACTAAGTTTTAAACGAAACTATTAGTGTGCATGCCATATAATTTGCAGTATGTTGTGAGGATCTGGATTTCTGGCAGAAGATCAATGGAAAGTAACTGAAACATTTCTTGTGACAGGTGAATCTATGGTACAGCAGAATAACAAGCAGATGCAGGTGGATATTCAAGACTTGGGCTATGAAACCTGTGGGAGAAGTGAAAATGAGGCTGAAAGGGATGAGGCTACAAGCCCTGGTACTGTAAGATGTTATTCTGGCTGCCATCCTTTTTTAAAAAAAATATATTTTGTTTATACAAACATAACATCTTCTTACACAGGAAAAGACCCGAATATTCTATTTGGTGTGCAGTGATCTCTTCCAGCCAGTATTTTATTTTTATCCAATGTTGTTGTTTTTTTTGCCGATGTGCACATCCACCACATAGGATTATACGTTCTGTGTTGTTGATTGCACTTCCAACAAGTTGGTGAGCATTCCGGGAACATTCTCGCAATTTTCGCCGGTGGAAGATGCCATGTGTAAAACATCTTATATACGTTCTCTCTGTATGCTGTTGCCATCGTTAATTTATAGATTGTTTCCAAAGTTTTTCCCATTCTGTCAATTTTATAGTATATCCGAAATTTGTCACCCATGTTATCATAGTTTCTTTCATGACTTCTTCTTTCATTTTTAATCTTAATAAGTAATGATACAATTTTTTTTAAATTTCTCTTCGGTTCCCTGTAGAATTTTACCTAGTTCTGTGGTTCCTTATAAAATCCATCTCTTTCTCTATCTTTTTTGTACCTCGCCTGTATTTGTAGGTATATGGCCACCAGTCTATACCTATTCCCCCATCTTTCACTTCTTGTCTGGCTGCCATCCTTAATGCTTTCAATTGTTTGACTTATAAAGGACTCCTAAACAATCTTGAGCAAAGAATTCTTAACATAAGAAGGTATAGAAAACAGAATATTTCAAAGTTCCATTTTGGTCATCATTGTATATGCAAATTGTAGATATTTATAAGCAAAAAAAAAGATGTATTCCAAAATTGGAATTTGCAATTTACCTGGAAGAAAAGCTTGTTTATTTATTTAGTCCTAATTCTTAGTCTTTTTTTTTGCTGTTGTTTTGTTTTGTTTTACTCAGGATGCAGAGTTCATGATGAGCAACTAAAGTTTTGGAAGAAATCAGTAGAAGCCCCTCAAAACAGGCTGATGAAACAGGAAACATTCCTGGGTGTCAGTCAAAATGATGAGGCTGCAGTTCTCCGCCAGCATATTCAGGTTCTCCAGATGCAATTGCAAAGTTCCCACAAAGTTATCCAGAACTTACAAAATTGTGTGCGCTCTGTATCCACTACCAGTGACTATGGTTCTATGGGAGATCAGTCACTCAAATTGAGGCAAGGCTATACTCTGGGCAATTCTTCTTCCCACAGTATGACTGATGAAGATGAAGGCTGGCAATCTGATAGCGTTGGAACTTTCTGCCCACCAAGTCTCCAGTCCAATAAAGATTTGGCCAGCCTTATACAGAGAGTAACCCTGCTGGAAGCTCATATGAATGAGACCAAGCCAAAGGAATTTTTGACAGAGGAATTGAAATGTACAGCCTCCTTGGGGTAGGACATTACAAGATGCAGGGATAAATATTATCAGTTAAATCTGACAAAGGGTTGGTATCGCTTTCTGCAACATCACAATGGGCAATAAAGTATCTACTTCAAGAGGTTGGCTTTTACATATTCAAGCAGATGGTATAATCACACTAAACTTCACTGGGCAGTTTATGTCTCTACAGCACAACTCTAACTTCCTTTCTTCTGGTAACACCAAATAACCATGAGCCGAGGTGGCGCAGTGGTTAAATGCAGCACTGCAGGCTACTTCAGCTGACTGCAGTTCTGCAGTTCGGCTGTTCAAATCTCACCGGCNTGATCCACTGAAATACCTCCCGCTCCCCACAATTGCTTCCCCACCCCAACGTGCCATGCCGGGTCACTTACCTTGTAAAGATCTAGCAAGCATTCTCATCTCCAGGCTTGGGTACCCCTCCGCAGTTCCATTCAGCCCTCCACAGGCGTCACCCACTAGGTTGCCAGCTGAAATGGAGCTTATGAAGGGTGAGTCCGAAGTCCCGTTCAGCCCTCCATGGTCCTTCCCCAGCCCATTGGTAGGCTGAAATGGAGCCTCTATGGGCCAGATCTGGCCCCACAACACTCCGTTCAGCCCTCCCTGAGCCTCCCCTGGCCAGTTGCAAGCCAAAATGGAGCTTCCGGGGGCTGCCCCAGGAGACTCCATTTCGGTCTGCAACAGGCCTGGGGAGGACCACAGAGGGCCGAATGGAGTGTTATAGGGATGGATCCAGCCCCTGGAGGCTCCATTATGGCTTGCAATGGGTCAGGGGAGGCCTCTGGATGCCGAAATGGGTCTTCTGAGGTGCAGATCTGCCCCTCCGAAGCTCCATTTCCACTGGCAACATGCAGGACAAATGTTGCAGAGCCTCTGCGGTTGTTAAGGGTGAACAACTGCCAAGTTGCTGCAAGATTCATAGAACTCTAGGGGACACTAATCGCATAACTTCGAACATTTGTTAAGGGAACACTCGTAACCCAGGATTTACCTGTACTGAAAAATATTTTCTTGGACTGAAGAGCAACGTTGTCTAAACTTCTTAACAAGTAAGGCCTCATGTTAAGTCTTACATATTCTGTTAAGTTACTTCTCAGCTGTCTCCTTAATTTTATGCTGTTTGATTTCTTTCTTCCCAAGTTCCCTCTAAGTTTGTTGAAGTCAGTTATTTTAAAGTCTAGAACTCTGGGTGCATTATATTGAATTCTAATCTGACAGTGACATGATCATTGTGCCCCCAAGTTTCCTGCAACTTCAACCCAGTAGCCTTTTTTCTTTGTTAGTAAAAATTAGGTCCAGTGGAGCAGTTCCTCTAGTTTCCTCTATCTTTTGGATGACAAAGTTGTTAGCTTGGTTGGTCAGGAACCTGTTCAGTCTCCCACTTGCTGCAGAGTTTGTCTCCCAGTTGATATCAGGATAGTTAAGTTCCCCATTACTACTGTAGTGTGTTTTCTACATATAGGTAACTGGTTAGCAAAAAATTTATCTATTTCTTATGTTTGGTTAGGTGGCCTATCTCCCCCCCCCTTTTATATTAACCCATATGCATTCTATGGTCTTTCATTCTTGGTATTGTCCATTTCTCTGAATGAGGAGGGAAGAAACAATATAGCTACTAGATACATGTCTTGAAATTTCATCTTGCTGACTGAGGTTCTTCATTTCAACCAGTAAAAATAACTCAAACTTTGTCCTATTTTCCACAGAATTAGCTATTCCTCCAGGGCTTGTATCATCTCCAAAAATATCTTCTCTACATGTATATGCAAGTCATTAATTAATTAATCTTGAATAGCTCTGAGCCCAGAAAAGGGTTCTCATTTGAGATCTAGACTGATACAAATAGTTCATTAGCATGAACTGACCAGTTATTTAACTTCCTAACAAGGCATTGGCCAGTATAAAATATATCAAATATAAAATAATATCATCACAAGTGCTATTGAGAGGGAGATGAGCTTGGTTGTGTGGCTTACTATACTTTCACAATTGTGTCATTTTCAGAGTTATTTCACTTTAATGTTTGCCTGGATACTTTTAGCACTTTAAAAAAGGCCAAGCTAAGCAGCAGGCAGAATTAGCCAGTAAATGGCCTGCCTGCAGCCATACTGCTGCCAATTTCATTTTTGGAAGTGCTGCTGGGCTCCACTAACTGTCTGGCTTGCAGGAACTGTGCTAAATAAGCTTGCTGTTATCACCACATCATTGTTTTAAAGAGAAAAATAAAAAACACTTCCTGCTGAATGGTGATGTGTGTAGAAATAGCTCTATCTAGTAGGCATCTCTGAGAAGTTGCTTCTTTTGTTTCTTCTTGCTTTATCTTAAACAATCTGTTATGAAATAAGAATGCCTTCTTAGCTCCTCATCCAAATTTTGGCTCAGCAGCATTCACAATTAAAAGAGGAAGATAAAAGTTATTCTGTTTAACAATCTGTATCTTTTGGGAATAATCTATTTCCTCAGGATGTCCTAATTTAACTTGCCACTCTCTTTGTTTCTCCTCTCTTTTCCATCTCTAGGCTTTTATGATGACTCCTTGTCCAAGCCAACAGGTTTGCTTTTGGATTCACTGGACTCAGAACCATCGTCCTGCGCGTCTTTGGGACCCCCATCTTCATGCTCAAGGCCCCTGCTTGGCTGCTGCATAACACCAGCCTTCTCCCTGACTGAGGCACAGCAGGAGTTGAAGATGCTGCAGCAGCAGCTTGGAGAAAGTGAGCCTTCCTGGCCCAGTCCCCCATGTGGCATGTAGCTTTGCATGACATGCCTAAGCCTTCCTGCATGATGCCTTTATCACTGCCAAGCATAGCAGAGACCATAGTGCTGATGTAGAAACCAGCAGACTGTGAGTGTGTAAAGGTTGCCTCTCCTTCTAGCTTAAGAAAGTGAAGACTCTTGAAACAAAGTATTCCAAAAGGAAGATTTTACTAAGTAGAAGTGAAAACAATCAGTTCAAAGCAACATCTGAATCCCCTCAGGCAAGGCAAGTAGATTTACCAGCAGTAGAGACCCCTCCCATTAGTCAGAATGCAGATTTTAGTTAATACACAAGTGTGAAGGTGGTTTCTTTACCAGCTGCGCTGAGAACCAAATAAACTTACATTCCCATGG